GCGAGCGCGGAGGGGAGCTGCCGACCCCCGCTGCCGGCGGGGAGGCCGGCTTTGACGTCGCTCGGTGGCCTTTGGCTTCTCCCTCCCTTTCTCTGTGTTTTCCCCCCCCGCCGCCTCCGCCGCCCCGATCCCCCTTTTCCCGCAGGCTCCAGCAAGGTTTGGCGAATAAAACCAACAAAACCTCTAACAGTTTCAGGAGGAGAAAGGCAGGAAGGAAATCAAAAAAGCAGACAGAGAGTGGACTACCTCGATCGGGAGGTTTCAAGGTATGCTTTTGTTTGTAACTATCTGAAACACAGAAAGAGAGTCGTGAGAAAAAAACACACACACACCAGGCCACGCAGACGCACCCGTGCCAAGCGACAGACGGACTCGGAAAACAGGAAAAAAAGGGGAGGAAAAAACACAGCTACTTCGGGTTTGGGGTGGGGTGTTTTTTTTTTTTGGAAGCTTTCGCAGGACAGGAGGAAGAAAGAAAGGTAATTTCAAAGCCTCGCTCACCCTTTTTCGCTCCGTTTGCCCCATTAAAATTCTTTTGTGGGTTTTTTTTTTCCCGCCCCTCCCTTTCCTCAGCTTGAGGAGTTGGAGGAGGGAGGTGAGGACGAAGCATTGGCAACCCCGGGCTTGCGGAGGAGCTGGCCGGCAAGGCACGGCCTCGGCAATCAAACCCCCACTCGCGGAGCCGAGGAGGTTTTTTTAGCCAGGAACCAGCGCACAGCGTTGCGTTTGAGAGCGACGGACTCGTTAAGTGGCTTTAACGAGGCACGACAGCGCAAGGGTCGGGACGGGGGGGACTACGGCCGGCTACGGAATCAGCCGGACGGACACAGACCCAACTCGAAAGCCAGCTGGGAAGATGGGGGGGCTGTTTTCAACCTTTTTTGGGGGGAGGTTTGCAAGACCGGGAGAGGTTTATCCTCGTTTCTACGTGTCGGGGCCAGAGGACGGCGTTCCCGGTGGGAAAACTCCAGCCATCTTGGACCGTCGGCGGAGGGCCGACAGCCCCGAGGGGTTCAAACCCACCCTTCCCCCCGAGGTGTAAATCTACCTTTTCCAGGTTTAAAACCCCAAATCCCAGCGGAAAAACCTGACGGATCCCAAAAGCCACGCAGCCCGGCTCCGCATCCCCGGCCCTACGCAGCCAGGAGAGGTTTTTCCTACTCACTGTCACAAGCGTAGGGTTTATCCCGGTCTTCTAATACAGCCGCGTCCAGCTTCTTGCGAGCCCCTCCGACACCTTTGCCCTGGGGGAAAAAAGAAGGGGAAAAAGCCAAGGTTTAGGCAAAATTGCGGCCCAGAAGGCTCGTGGGAGGTGGGGGAGGACAACGCCGCCGTGCCGGCGTCAGAGAAAAGCGCGATCCAACACTGCCACATAGTGGGTACGGCCCGAAACGGCTGCGGGGCGCGGGGGTCGCC